GCATATAGAGCTGCCAGAGAAAGGTGGCACAGGATCTTTAAAGAAAAGCAACAGGTAATCTTATATAACCTATGAACCCTTTTGATATTTTAGGGAGCTTAACAACAGGTATACAATACTTGACCATGTTGAATGCAAGTAAAACTAGCCTCCAGTTATGTATTCTAGGTAATAGATCTCAGTCTCAATGTAACTGCTGCAAGCATAATATGGGAAGCCATCAAACTATTCTGAATTGCAGAGACTTCATGCTTTTAGTCATCTTCCCAAGCACCAGTGACCTCCATACGAAAGGAGGAAAAAAAAAAATTAAAAAAAAGTAAAAATTAACTTTTGTAGGAAATGGAATGGGGCTTTAAAAACACAAGAGATGCTGAGACTGAGAAGGAAATACTAGGAAGAAAAATTCCAAGTAAGAAGTTCAGGTCGTGCCCTGCAGGAATAACTCATTACAGAATCAACTTGTACTTTCAAGTAACATTACAAGCTCTTGAGCTAATTTTCCCTCTGCGACTCAAGCAGCAGCTACACCACTCCAGGGAATACACCACACCACCCATGGTGCTACTCAGTGCCTGCAAAACAAAATCTTTAACTGTAGAAGAGACTGGAATTCAGGTCTTCTGAAGCCTCAATCCCCAATTCATGAGCCTTTACTAAGGCAGCTTGCATAGTACTTCATTTCAATCTTAGCTACCAAATCTAAACCAGATACCCAGAACCATAACCACAACACAAACGGGCAGCTGAATGTGGGTTTAGTTTTGTTTGTTGGTTTGTTTTTTCCAGTAAGTGTTACTACAAGTATAAGTGGAACAGACAAGCTGCCACACTGTTTAATACAAGGGTTAGCTGCATCTATACTATCTTCAGGAAGATAAACTTCTTCTGTGGTGCTAGGAAAACTGCAGCACCAAAGTGCAGTCCAAAGAATACACAAGCTAGCATACATCTACAGGTAGTCAAGAACAAGCATTAAGAAAACTGCAATGAAGGATCCTCCAAATATCAGCAGTTGGAAAAGCACTTCTGCTAGTCTTATAGTCCTGACAGATGGCTATCATCTTCCCTCTGATTCAAAATTTGGCTGCTTTGGGTTCCCTTTGTTCTGAAGCACTGGAGACTGGTTGTGGCTATTGAGTCCAGCTAAGCATCATGCTGCTAGCAGTGTTTTTCAAGTGCCTGCTTAAGTTTTCTGCTAACAAGAATCTCATGACATTTGCAATTACTTCAATCTTCCTTGCTCAGTTTCTGAAACACAGTGTAACATTGGCTTTTGGTCATTTACTACAGTTTAAGGTTTTGTTTAACGTTTGTTTCCCATAGGCAGTAAGAGTCTGTGATTCTCAGCATGCCAGAAGAATTGTCTACTGAACAGCTAAATGAGACTTCAGTTATATGGCTGCCTGTGACTGAAGGGGGTGTGGGAAAACCCCCTCAGTGACCAAATAGCTCCTTCCAGTCCTGAGCTCCCCATTCCCAAATGTACTCAACTACTCACTTTACTCAGATATTCATCAAAAAGTAAACAATTCCCATGTCTCTATCAGCCCAAGTAGTATTTTTATACTTAAAATGAATAGCTAATTATTGCATAGAGTAAGAGCAACTGGATGTACTGAAAAACCCCTTAGAAATCATTCCACTTAAAGATATTCTGTTGCTGGAATGCAGTCATTTATCCCCACTCTGTTCTACCACCTGTGAACAGGGACTACATGGAATTAATGTTTTCTGAAATCATTTGCAGAACAGGTCCGAGTCTTTCAGGTTCAACTAGACACCTCAACAAGGAAAGACAAAAGTACTTCTATACTCAGAAAAAGACTAAAAAATCCTACCACAATTCATAGATGTATCATTAATCCGCACATTGCTGGTCTCTCACATTTAGTTACTCACAGTCCCACTGCACCAGTTTATTACAGTGATCTGCTTTACAACAAATTCAAATCTGATGTTTTCTAAAATCTGGTACAGCAATTTCTAGCACAGTGAAAAGTGTTAATGCCTGCATTTTGTCCCCACCCATACAAAGCATAAAAGACGAAAGCAATTTTACATGACTAAGGCCCAGCAAACAGACTACAGTAGCAGTGCCTGTGTCAGCAGGTTTATCCTCCCACATCCAGCATCCCGAGGACTTCATTATTTCATGGAAGCTGCAGAGAGCACAGTTTGTAAACAGGCTTCAGGACTTTCCAAAACAGTAGGCCCTTCAGAGGGCTTTAACCTTGAAATAGCCATGCTACTATAAGGAGAGTGTAGAGCCTGGCCATTTTGTTTGTTTGCTTTAATGTTCAGAATACACAAGTAAACAGCAGGAAAAAAAGCATATTGAAAACTAAGCATGTTTAAAAGCTCCGCCAAGTAGCAGCCCTAACACAATGTATAAATAAATCCAAGCCATGTCAAACAGCATTCCACAGTCATGCGTCAACTGAAAAGCAGAAAGACTTGTCTGTTTGAAGAAAACAATTGTGATATGCAAGTCAACTTCCTATATATTGACTCGGGATTTTACCATTTAACAAGTTTCCTGAAAGCTTAGCACATAGAGACTCTATTAACAAGATTATGAGCATCCTGCTGTATCCCAAGTTATATTTCTAGCCACTATTTAACTGGCAGTTCATTCACAATTACTTCTTTTGTGAGATGATGTACCTAAAATTGAGATTCTCTCCTAAAAAAACCCCAAACAAATCACTGCTCAGTATGACCCATCACTTCTGCTCACCTCCAAAGCCTGAATTTTAGAATAAATCTCCTTCAAGAGATCATGTAGCAGATTACACCAACTCTCATTTGTCTGCACTAAGCATAAACATCAGAGCCACTTGTAATAATCTACCAAAGATTAAATTTTTTTTAAACTATTAATTTCAGACATTTACCAGTTCCTCTGTTACATGTAAGTGGGATGTCTACTATGAAAGACCAGATGCTCAGATGGATTAAAGCGTGTCTAGCTTTTAAATCCTGCATCTGCACATCAACACTGACCTAGTGACCTAAAGTAAAATTCAGTAAGAAAAACCAAAGTATTCACAGCCACATATAGACGATTCAAGAAGGAAATTTTAATTTTTTTTTCACTTAAGACTGTTTGGACAATTACAGATAATATAAGAGCTGGAGAACGCCAAAGATAAAAGTCCCCTATTTATCCTTGAAAGACGTTTAGCAAAGGCAATGGAAAAGCAAGCTTCTCAGCACACTACCAGCTAGCAATCAGGAGAAATCACCTCCAGAAGGGGTATACAAGCGATTACCTTTATGTCAATATGATTGTTGCTGCCTGTGAAGACTTGCCAATATGACAGTAATTCACATCCACAACGACAGCAAATCCTGTAGGCAACAGCTACCTTCCTAGAAACAGACTGGGGAACAGAAATGCATCCCACACCAGCTACAGAATAACCTTGGGGCGGTTGTCCTTTCCTCCAGCTAGGTACGGTGCAGGGTCTGAAGGGTGAAAGTCTGATCTCTTTTCAAGCACAAAAGCCAGTCTGCCTCCTGCGCTCTTTTTAACAACTACAGACCTGCAACTTGAAGGTGTGAACAAGTCCACTGCAGCCCATTAAAAGCAAGTTTTGCATAAATTGCCCACTTCAATGGCAACGAAATGTTTAAATTCTGGAGAAGAAAGGGTTTAAAAGAAGTCTTTATAATTACAAGTTGATACAGCTTCCATTAAGAGCACTCGCCCAGTTCCACCAATGTGAGTGTGACATGTCTGAAAGGACTTCAGGCACATACACCAGGCTCCCACAAGCGCAAGAAAAGCTCATACACCACAAGCAGTTAAAAGTACTCAAAGAAATAAAAAAAACCCTCAATCTCCCACATGCACACTTTTGTTACACACCAAGACTTGGAAAGCATCTCCTAAGTTAAAAATTTATCCTAGTCAAATATGTTGTAATCATGATTTTAACTCTACTGATAACTTTTCTCCCATACTCCGATGCAATGACATTTTAAGTGCATAAAAGCAGAAGGCACATTGGTGGAATTAAGACTGACACAGTGTCAATTAAAAGCCTCTAGCAGTGTCCTCCCCTGTACCAAATAAAAATGGCAGTCCTGGCAAGAGGGATGCTGCATAAGAGCTTTATTTGAAAAGGGAAAGCCCGTACGTGACTCAAAATATCTGCTGAAGTAATTGTCATTGAATCACTGTCTATGTGGTGTACAAAATCATTTTAATGACCCTCATTTAAGTCAGTAATTTGAACTGCACACAAACGTTCATCATGCATTTATTATGAAAAAATTTAATACTCCTAGCTTCTACAGCACAACAAAAAATGTCACTGCGATATATGCCTAACCTCATTTTCCCCTTTAAATGAAATCCTGCTACCAAAACAGTCACAATAATTGCAGAGTAATCTAAAAACTCATGTCAACTCTCCGTACAATTAAGCTCTATAAGAGAAAAAGTCCAAAATGTTTGGTCAGCTGGCGAGTTGGAAAGAGGGGCAGAGGGTGGGAACGAAGAGTGCAAAGCCTGCTCCTGCATTCTGCCTCCCTTACGCTGCTTCCTCCGAGCAAACTGCATAAAACACCCTAAACATCCATTGTATCACCAGCTCTGAGCATTTCCTCCTTATCTCACCCTTCATGCCAGTACGAAAACCAAACACGTATCACGTCCAAAAAGAAATCAGTCAGACAAAAAGCAATCAGCGTGAACAGGCATGTAAATCAGACAGATTTGGCAGCGAACAGCATTTCATAAAGACAAGAGATACGAATTGCTCCATTTGTGTCAGTTCGGCCAGTTATTGTTCTGACTTACTACTTTAACGACCCCAAATTAAACTGCTTGAACTGAAACCGACAAACAAAGATCTTTAAAATACAATTCTCCCCACACACACCCTCTTAACAATAAGCATTATTTCCGTGGTGCTACCATCCTTAAATCATAAAGCAGCTGCGCCAATTAAAAATTACCTACTTACATACATAATGAATTTAGCACCGACCTTGCAAAAAGCTCACTCCTCTTGGCTAGAAATCATTAATAGTTTTGGTAAAATCCTTTTATGTGCTCCTCCAGCTAGCTAATTCCAGCCTGCCATTAACGCACTCCATTGCGGATAATTGCCGACAGCACACGCTCCCCTGCTTTTTCTGGTTCCCAACCCAGCGAGGATAATCACATTCCAGTGGGGAGCGAACAGATGGCAGCCTCCATGGTAACCAGTCCTCCCCAGCTAGTGGTAGCACTGGGAGACTCCCGGAGACTGGGCAACAAGCGCTCTTTGTGCCTCAGCCCTGCAAAGCGCCAGGGAGGGGAGCGCCCGCTCCCAGCGCTCACTGGGCATGCCTAGCAGGTGCCTTGTCTCCCCGAGCAGGCGGCACACACCTCCACCAGGGCTTGCAACCAGGTTTAACCTTGACACTGCCTGTTCCCGCATCCCGCAAGGGGGAAAACACACGCTAAAATGGAGGGGGAGCTAGCGAGAGTTTTCATTTACTGATAAAACAGAGGGTTCAGAGAAATTAGCTAAGGACTGGTTTTCCCCCTGACAAAACGGTTTTCTGAAGGCAGGCTTACTTCTCCTGAATGGGTTTGACTTCAGCATGACGGGAAGGTCTGCTGCCTGATCTCTGTCTCCTGAACCTTGAAACTGCTCCCCTCGATAACACTATCATCTCCCAGCCTGGGTTTTCCTCAGTAAGAACTGCACAGACCCTCGCTTTTGGTCTTATGGCTTCTCTCAGGCTTATCTGCTCCTGCATCTGCCCAGACCAACGCTGAGTCGGCAGTAGGCAAAACCACCATGTCCCTCTGCTGTGCCCCCAGGCTGACAGGAATGTGTGTCCACCTTTTTTTTTTTTTTTTTTTTTGCATCAAAGCTGTGTCTGAAACCACTGCTCTCACCAGGCCAGATCCTGCGCAGCTACACTGGTGGCATACACCAGCTCTGTAAAATTCCCACTGAGATGATCTGGAGGGGAAAGGGAAGTGGCTTTTCAAGACCAGCCGATAATGATCTTGTTTGCACAGTAAAAAGACCTTTGAAAAAATATATTAAGGCTTTAAATACTGATGAGTTGCACAGCATCATGTCTCAAAATATTTAGGGTTCAAACCACTGGATGTGAAAAAGTTTGCAGCACGGTAGTCCATGATCTGCCTCTCTTGACACATTCAAACTTCCTCTCCCTCACTCTCAAAACCATGCAGCTCTTATGACTAACAGCACGTCAAAAAAACGTGGGCAATTTTACTTAATTCTGAGCCAAATTTGGACTTCAAGTTGATACATGCTGACTTAGGCCTGCTAAATTATTATTATTTTGAGGAAACCATCTTCCCTTCCTTTCTCCCCTAATGGCATTTGATCTTGTAGCTGGTCCCGCAGAAGGAAAATCCCTGTGGTGAATCCCATCTCCACAAAAACACCCATCTTTTCCTCTGGGTGGCTCCAGGTATGGAGCTCAGTCATTATCTCCACCCCACCCCACCCAAGTTTTCAGTTTCCCTCATCTTCACTGCATAAGGAAGTTAGCTTTGTTTCACAGCAAACACAGTTAAGTCTTTCTTACACTGGTAAGAGACACCACTATTAAACTACTAGTGCACTAACACTGGAAGCCCTTCAGATGGCTGCTGACAGGGCTTGCACACCCATAAGCCGTAGAAGAGTCCCTGCCATGGAAAGAATGGTGGCTAACGAGGGCCCAGACTTTGGAGGGGACTTGGAGCTCACAAGGGCACTGCAGGTGCCAGTGACAGGCATGGGACCAAGCCTTAGTCTGCCAACTTCCCCTCCAGGACTAGTAGATCATTTTGACTCATGCCACTAATTTCAACCCACTTTCTTCCTCTAAATAAGCAGTCTTTACATCATCAGAAATTTCTTAAGCAACCACGGATGCCAAACCTAATCATCCATCAGCACAAGGGTAAAATAAAGTAAGGAAGGAAGCCAACTTCCTATTTAATTTGCCAATTGTTAATAACAAAAACTTTTCAATGTTTAAGCATTATGAAACACGCCAATAGAATTTCTTGGTTTACCTCTTAAAAATAAAGACCATGGCTCAAAAATTAGTTTTAATATACTAATAGATTTTATATATTATGCATTTCTGGAAAAAACTGTATCAATTACAGCTCTTGGCAAACAAACTGACTTCAAAATTACAGGGATTCAAGTTCAGTTTCAGTCTTTTTTTTTTTTTTCTCCTTCATGAATAACACCTCCAAAGTAATCTTCTAGATTTTTGTTAATTCTAACTCTGTATTAATGTTTTTGTATACTGAAATATTATATGCATTTTGGCATTGGAAAACTGGTTCCAGACACTGACAAAAATCCTTAGACTGTTTTTGAACGAGTACTAGCTGTACTCATAGAAGGATTGCCAGCAGAATAAAGGGCAACAGCAGTCAGAATCCATTTCAGCTTCTTACTTGAAATTTAATTCTTATGTCTAATTTTACACAGACACAGTGCAATTGTTTGAATAAACCACATAGAGCAGCCCTCACACAAAGAAAGGAGCAATGGGATGCACTACAAATTTTGGCAGAAGCAATAGGTACGTTACATGGAGCAAAACTAAACAAGTATCCTCTGTATATGTGACAAACGTTTTATTCAAACTACTTGATAAAGAGAGAGGAAAACAGCACATTCAAAATGCTTTTGAAGAGGGCTGAAGAAGGGAAAGAAAACTTTGCCAACTCCCCTTATTCACTGGCCCAGTCCAAGCCAGATAGGAGTTCAGAAACAAATTGGTTTTAGCTGGAAGGTATTAATGAAAATAAACAACATATTGGCATCCTGTCGCCTGAATGGATTGCATTGAAGAGATTGTCTTTTACAACAATGACACCATGTGCTTCAGCTTTTTCCAGTCCCAGCTGCAATCTGATAGACTAGGACTTTGTTATTTCATGCAAGTTGGTGGGGACTCAAACTGAACTTTAGAAATTTATCTTTTCAGATTAGATTTTTTGTGTGTGTGCATGAGATGATCGCTTAAAATCTATTCACCCAAAACAAGTTACATGACTTCAGAATAAGTCATACTGACAGAAGTTAGTCTCCATTCTCTGCATAAGATTTGAAAGCTTTATTTATAAAGCCAACCACAGCAGGTAAGTAACTGACACCACGCTTCACACATGCATGGTTTTGAGCTGTTGTCCATTTTTAGTACCTGTTTTTAGACTTCTACTTAAAACCTTGTAATTACTGACAGCTGTATCAACTGTACATTACTGCCAGAGATAAAGCAATACAATAGGCCATTGATCTGCTCTATTATAGTATCAGCTTTGTTTCTAAACAGAATGCAGCTTCAATATAATATATATGTACTTCTCTTAACTTGGTACCAATCTGGTATTGAGGAAGTTCACTTCAAGGGAAACAGGATGTCTAAACTTTTAAGAAATATAAAATATTCTGGAAGCAATCATAAGGGCTGAAACTTGCAAAATTTCCTCTTACTTGTCCAGAATTCCAAGATTTAACATTTTCTGTTACAAGCATAGAAGGGGTAGGGCTTCCACACTGGTCCTTTAAGATCTACCTGTATGACAGAGATGTTCTTCCAGTCTTATCTCAATTGGCTGTTTTCCTAAATTAAAAACCCACTGTACTTGGCAGAAGGAAAACAATGAATTAAAACTCTGCAGACAGCAAGTGCTTCCTCAGCAGCACCTCTGCAGACAAAAAATAAATGGAGACCTCATACCTGGGTGAGTTGCGCTCCTCTTACTTCCCAAGTGTCTTCAGTCCCTGTGGTCTTGCATCAGCACATGCTTCCTCAGCATCACAGGAAAACTAGACTATAGCTTCTCCTTCTTTCACATGATGCCCCTATAAGCTGGGAGCACGTGTGTACTGGGCATGGGAGAAGGGACAGTTACTGTTTACCTCTTGTTCTTACAGCTGCTGTTTGATTAAGTGATGTCAATGTTTGGAGTGATAAACCTTTCCCGTCCTAACTGTTGCTGTTTACAAAAGCAGGATTAGCAGCAGGAACATGAGCTACCTCTTTCTCACCAGTACAAAGATGTAGACTGTCTCCATCCACTACAACAATCATTCTTCCAATGTTACAACAACTGTTTCTATGGATGCTTATTTTTGGCAACTATAATTAAAGGACAACAAAGAAACATGGGCAGAGCTCAAATTAGGCCATCTTAGTGACCTATTTGGGGTACAATCCTGAAAGCTATCCTTCCTTCATAGGCAGTCCTCCAGAATAACTCTGAAGTTATGAAATTAAATTCCTTACAGAAGTAGAAAACCCAACACTTCTACTACTTCAGCCCAATACACTGAAACAATTACTCCATAAACTGGAATTACTCTAGTTTCCAAATTTTTCTGACACCTCTCCCACTGAGCTGTACCAGTAGTGCCTCCAAGCTAGTAACACCTGTAGAAAAGGACATAGTTTTTTCTTTAAACTTAGACAACACCAAAGCATATCTAGAGTTAGTGATTAATTATATTGATTAATATAATTTTAAAGTATTATGGAAAGTAAATTACGTAAAATGTAATTAAAAAACCATCCATCAATCCAAAGGCCCTAGATTAGAACTTCTTTCTCTAGTAAAGAAAATCTTGGAAACTGCTGATAGCAAGGAAACAACACATTTTTTTGTAAACACTGAATAATTTTTGTGTCAATAGTACAACATAGTGCATGGAAGAGATGTTGAAGAGAATGCACAAGAGCACAGCCTCCCTGAGGAGTCACATACGAGGCATGAGACAGCTCATACTGGTGGTACCTACCCAGAATCAAGAGGTCTGGAGCTGCCTTTGCAATGTATGTGTGAACAGAAAGAAGGGAAAAGCCAACATCAAGGGGCTTACATTCCAACAGCAGAATAAACTGTGACACTAATGCTTTTCAATCCATCTGCATTCAAAAAAAGCAAGAGATGACAAAAGCAGAGCTCGATTTTGGCTGAAAACTCAGTTTGTCAAGGTAGGACAATTCAGTTTAGTGTCTGGAAGCATCCAACAATAGGGCACAGCAGCCACCAGACATGCCTGATTATTTCTGCAATCGCACAGAGCGTTTCCATGGAAAAGCAGCGGTCTCCTAGGTTTGACATTCAGCGTCTGACAGCTGAGCCAGCTAAAGCTCAGACGCACAAGGCTCAAAGAGAGATCACAGACAGCTCTTTGGACATGGTTCTGAGCAATGCAAGAGTAAAACCAGCTCTAGGGGAGAGCCTAACCCCAGGAGCTCTGCCCTCTGCTCTTTATTTACCAGTTGAGATCCCAATGAAATCAGATTAGACATCAGAGTAGCACATGGGTGGGAA